AAAAAAATTTAAAAAAAAAAGAGCTTCTCCAACAAAAACGCAGTCCTATTAACTAACATGAACTAACACAAAAAAAGAATCTAGCTTAGTATTCCCACTAACATGGATTGTTGATCTGAAAGTCAAAACGTTCACCTCAACAGGTTATCCTCCATCCACTTGCTGGGAACTAAGGCAGAGCCTAGTAACAGTGTTCACACATATGCCTCCACTTATGTAACTCCCCTCAATTGCCCCTTTTTCCTAACATCTCCAAGGCAACACCACTAGAGGAAAAAGTGGAGAACCAGTTTTTACTGGAAGCACTGAAAAACTGCCACAGCTCTGCTCTTATTCTCCTTTTTTCTCCTTTTTGCCTCTTCCAGGAACTACCTACCACGGGAGTATATGACCATTCTCTCTCTTTAATATCTTAATTTATCTTACTATTGTAGTACAGTAAAAGTTTAAGTTTTCTTAAAACCATTGTCATCATTCCTTTAGGGGGTCTTTTTCCCCCCCATTCCCCACTCCTAATAGTAAATGTATCTCTTCCCCTCCTAGATTCGCATTTCTCTAACTTGTATTATTTGCCTCAAAATGCACTCATGTCCCAGAATCAAAGCCTCCTTCACTCTTGGGACAACAATCTTAAGATGAAGTGGAGAGGGGCGCCTGGGTGGCTCAGCCGTTAAGCGTCTGCCTTTGGCTCAGGTCATGATCCCAGCGTCCTGGGATCGAGCCCCATAATGGAGCCCCACATCGAGCCCCACAATCGAGCCCCACATCGGGCTCCCTGCTCTGCGGGAAGCCTGCTTCTCCCTCTCCCACTCCCCCTGCTTGTGTTCCCTCTCTCGCTGTGTCTCTCTCTGTCAAATAAATAAAATTTTTAAAAAAAAAAAAAAAGATGAAGTGGAGAGATCACAACGTTTGATCAAAAACAAACAAACAAAAAAAAAACTAGCTATTCCAACGAGATAAGTTACAGATCTTTGTTTATACATCATTGTTTTAGAAATTAATAACGCACACGCAGCGAGCTTCCGAGTCCATCCATATGCAAGTATAAATGAATTATCAAAGTTCTGCACCCAAGTAAAATTCGGTGACTTTTTAAGTGTTCCTTTAAGGGACCCGTAAAGGAAAGGGGCTGCTGAAGTTTGAGGAGGGGGCGGCCAAGACACAGCACTCGAGGGTCCCGCGGGGACTCGGGGACGCCGCCGACAGGGACGAGCCGGCCACGGCCCTAGGGGGTCTCGTTCCAGATGCCTGTGCTGACCACACGGTCAACTTCGCCCTGGGCCTTCCTCCCTGGAGCCCCCACCCGGCACCCCCAGTGTCCTCTGCCTCTCGCTGGGATCCACAGGGCTGACGGGGTCCGGCTGGTACCTGGTCATAAGGGGACTTCTCCAGCATCTGCGTGCACAGATCTGCGCAGAGCTGGAACTTCCTGCGCCTAAAATAGCTCCAGGCCAGGAGCAGCGGCTCCATCTCCGAGCCCATGGCGGCGGAGCGCGGCCCACGAAGGACCAGGGCCCGGGCCAGGGAGGGCGGGGTCGGGGAGCGGGAGGCGTCCAGCTCTGCCGGGCAACGCTCGGCGGCAAGGGCCTTGCCTGAGAGGTGTCCGCATCGCGCCTGAGAACAGGAAAAAGAAAACCCAGCACGAGCAGAACTCAGCTACAAGGCTTGTCAAACCTTGATTGCAAAAAGGGTGTGCTTTTAAAGGATACATATTTCATTAATTTCGAGAAGAAGGCACCATGGCTAAATTAAGAGGTAGTGACTTAGACACCTCCGACTGGGGTCCTCCACTCTCGCAAAGGAGGAGCGGTTGCCTAGCAGCCGAACGCTCTGCTTACTTAGCGAATCTAAGATTCTCAGGAGTTGACCCTCATACGGGTCACTGTCCTACTCTTCCCGTGTACGCATCCTTGCCCCTGTCATTTACCGTTCAGACTCTAGAAACACAAGCATGAGAACAGTTTCTTCAATACCATACTGCCCACCAGAACCCAAAGACCTACATCCTAAAATTCTCCAGTTTGTTTCAAGTCCTCAAAAAAATCTGTGTTCGAATAGAAGGGGACATTGAATACTGCTTAGTCCAACCGACGCATTTTACAGGTGAGAAACAGATCGGCTCAGAGAAGAGAAATTATTTACCTGAAGTCGCATGAATTTAGGGAGCTGGACTGTGATCTGGCTACAGGCTGTTAATACCATTTATTCAACAATGCATACAGATTCTGGATTACAAATTGGTGACGTTTTTGCAAACAAAATAATGCAACACAAAAAATTAAAAGGGAGCTTTTTGAAACGCCATCTCCAAACAATTGCTGTTTGTCAAATGCTTACTTGTGCAGAATGATTTCTTTAGGCACAATTCTGACTTCCCTCTAGAGATTTACACAGATGACAAATATCTTTAATGGTTATGAAAAAAGAAGTGTCACCGGGCTAAATCCAGGTAGACTTCATTATTGAAGACTAGCAGATCTTTTTTCCTTGCCTCCTTCCTACCACAGCAGGAGAGGCAAGAGAGGAAAAATTAACTTAATACTGAAGAACTTTCTGGTCAGGTCTAAATCTCCTTTATAGATAAGAAACAACAACTCTTAGCAAAGATAAATCACTCACAATTTTCTCAAACTACTAGGGTACCATAATGCAGACATTATATTTAATCCAGACATTTATATCTTTCATAGATATCAAAATAAAACTACCTTTCTAACCTGAGAAATGGGTTGAGGGTGGTTTTTTTTTTCCTCCTTTACTAAGCAGTCTTTCTTGAATTTTTGCATCTCAGAAGCAAATAGTTATGTTTATTGTAATTAGTCCATTTTTGTTTCCCTCAAAGTGCCTCTAGAAATGTATTTAAGCAGCCTCTTGTTTCTGGGAGTCAGGTTTTAGGACCACACATGCTGCCAATTGCACTTGAGCTCAATATTTCAAAGGGACTTTTTGTTTTCTGATACAGTATAAGGCAGATGCTATATAAGTAATTCTCAACTCCAGCTCCATATTAGATTTTTAAAATAAATTTTTTATTTTAGAGTTCCCCTATTGTTAACATTGTTAACATTTTATATTACTATGGTACATAAAATCACAACAAAGGAACCAATATTGGCACACTGCTATTAACTCCACAGTTTATTTGGATTTCAGTAGGTTTTCCCTGATATCCTTTTTCCATTCCAGGATCCTACTTTAGATACGTTATTACATTTAGTTATTACGTCTCCCTTCCCTCTTCTGGTCTGTGACAGTTTCTCAGACCTTGTTTATAATAAACTTGACAGTTTTGAAGAGTACCGGTCAAGTATTTTGTAGAATGTCTGGAAATCTTTTAAAAACAGATGCCTGATTTCCATCCTTAGAGATTCTGATTTAAATGGTTTGATGTTAAATAAATAAATAAATGGTTTGATATAGAGCTAAAGCATCAGTTTTGTTTTTTTTTTTTAAGTTTCCCAGTCAATCCTAATAGGCAGCCAGTGTTGAACACCATGTTGAGTTCTACATGGTCTTGCATATATTGAGATTATTGCCAACTTCCTACACAGGAACGAGGTTTTTGTAAGTGGGAAAATAAATAAATAAATACATACATACATAAATACATAAATATATAAATAAGTATGGAATTTAAAAAGAGGCATTAAAAATATTTTAGAGCCTTAATAATTCATCTTAGCTTCTTTCAGAAGTCTGCTATTTGTTTTTCTTTTAGAGAAGTCAAATGGATGAGGAAAATTGTGGATTACTTAGCAAACTGCTGGATGTGAAACATGTCCAAATGTAGCATAAACTGTGCCTTTAAAAGGTTATAAACATTTGTTATTTTTTAATCATGTAAATGTGTTAATCAATTGTATGAATGTATAGATAGACTTTATTACATTTTTTATAATTTCTAATCCATAATGCAGAAGCCATTTTTTTAAATGGCATGCAACTAACGGGAAGAATAGCAAATATAACAGTTCCTAGTGAAAGTGGTAGATAGGAATTACTAGAGCCATTTTCGTACTGAAGAAAATGAAGCAGAGAGATACCTTAACCCCTTTGAAAGGGTCAGTTTCACAATCAGAGCTAGATCTCAGTTAATGGATCCTTATCTTTTGCTTGCCAGCAACTAGGTATCTCTTTAGGTTAATTCGGTTTAAAGTCAAATGCCAAAGATAATGCAACTTTAAACACCAAAGTTTAAATTTTCTTCAATCTTAAACGGGTATTATTCGGGCCATTTAAACTTAACCCAAAAGAAAAGCAAAGTTAAAATGGGATCTTCTCTTGGTCAACAAGTATTTGCGTAGGCCCTATGCTTGGTGAAAAGAACACAGAGATTAAAAAAAAGGGGCCTCCAGGGTGCCTGGGTGGCCCAGTCGGTTGAGCGACTGCCTTCGGCTCAGGTCATGATCCTGGAGTCCCGGGATCGAGTCCCGCATCGGGCTCCCTGCTCGGCGGGGAGTCTGCTTCTCCCTCTGACCCTCCCCGACTCTCATGTGCTCTCTCTCATTCTCTCTCTCAAATAAATAAATAAAATCTTTAAAAAAAAAAAAAAGGGGGGGCCTCCAGCCCCAAGGGTACTTAGCGGAAAGAGCATTGGATTTGAGGTCAGACTTAGTAGCTGTGTTTTCTCAGGCAAATTAGGAATCAATATAGGATGCTGGTTAAGAAGTGGGCTGTGGAGCGGCATTTCCTATATTTGAACTCCTGACTCTCCCAGACATTAAATGTGGGGATCTTGGGCAAGTGGTATAGTAGTCCTGTGCCGCACGTATGGGCTTCATCTATAATATGATGTGTGTTTGCTGCGTTCTTTAAGAATTTTTGATTCTGCATTAAAGGACAAGGAAAACAAACAGGTTGGATGAAACTCATAAGAAATGTTAGCTATAGATAGTAAGTATATTATAGACCTATAGGACATGTTAAACATAGAATAGACATTTATGTGTTAAACACATTGAAAGGATGAAAAAAATGAAAGTGTTACTTGCGGATAGAAAGAGATGGAAAGCAAAATAAACCTTAAATATTCATAAAGCATGGATCAGCTTTATCAACTCAAATTGGCTACCCATTGGTATCACACATTCTAGCACACTTGCCCTCTGCTTAAAATACATACTGCTGCTCACCGGGTTATCACAGAGCTACAGCCATAGCCATGCATATTTTAGAAGCCTCTTCATCTCTCCAACAGAGCAAGCATGTATTGGCACCACAAAGCTTCTTCCATCTTTAAACTTTCTTGCCTGCCCTTAACTCTGCTCCTTGTAACCACACCATCTGCAGTAAAGGAAAGTGGTGCAAAGAGAGTCAGAACATAGGAACTTTGAGCGACCCACAGGCAATGTGGTCCTTCCACCTATTTGCGCTAAACTCTTAACCTTTCCCTTTGCTTTTTGCTGTAGATTTTAAGTTGATTCAACAAACTAGCTGGTTTGAGCATTTTAATTTGGTCTATGAACCTTTCAATTCCAGGACTTCTGGGCTAGCCTACAAGTTTGTGTACTTAGAGGCCACCATGGCATTTCTCCACTACATATAAAATGGGGACGATGATGACTACAACAACGATGATGATGACGTAGTGACTATCTTATGGGATGGTTATAGAGATCAAGCCAATTTAATTTAGGTAAGGCATAATTACATCACCTTTTCAAAGAACACAGAAACACATTGGGATGGAAACCAACAATGTATGTAACCAGGGATCACCTCAATTTTCAGTCAGACACATTTATTACATGCCAGAGAAAGAGTACTTTGAGACAATACCAAAGAAATTGGAGGTTGAAATTTATGGGGGCACCTGGGTGGCTTAGTCGGTTAAGTGTCTGCCTTTGGCTCAGGTCATGATCCCAGGGTCCTGGGATCAAGCCCCACATCAGGCTCCCTGTTCTCAGGGAGCCTGCATCTCCCTCTCCCTCTGCCTGCCGCTCCCCCTGCTTGTGCTTTCTCTATATATATGGCTCTCTGTTGAATAAATAAATAAAATCTTTAAAAAAATAAAAGAGTGTGGAATATCACATAATGGAGTTTGTACATTCAATGAAAAACCACCAGGAAAATTTTATCAGGAAATAAAAGCAACTTGACTGACTTATAGTAAAGGCAGAAAGATCACTTAGGATACTATTGCAATAGTTAAGGTACAAGATTCTGGAAATAATGGGCATGGACAGAAGAGGCAAAAAAAAAAAAAAGTTAAAGAAATAAAATCAGTAGGACCTGGACACTGATTGGATAGGTGGAGGGCATTTGGCTAAGGAAAGAGAGAAAGCTAGTCTAACTCCCAGTTTTCTAGGTTGTGAGTGTATGGATGGGGGGCCAGTCATCAAGATTAGAGTGAAGGGGAAGGAATGGGTTGAGAAAAAAAAAAGATACTAAATTCAGTCTGGGGCATAATGATTTTATTGTCTCTGGGACAGCCAGATGGAGATACTCTGTTAGTAACTGGAAATAGATGCATGTAAGAGGCCATGGAAAGAGGTCGGGGATGGAGATAAAATTTGAGACTCATATAAT